GCAAGGTAGCTCAGTGGCCATTAACTAATACTCCTGAGGCTGCAGGTTTGAGTCCAGATTGTGTCAGGAAGGACACGTGGCATGAAACAAGTTCATAGTCTATCATGTGAGCTTGCACGCTGTGGTGACGCCTGCAGAAGAAAAACTTTTGAGCATGAGCAGCCTACAGAACAGGTTTAAAAAAGTCTATTCAAATGGGTTAATATATAATAATATAATAATAACCGTTTATAAATATTTATATATATATATATATATATATATATATATATATATATATATATATATATGAAAAGGGGGGACACTTGCTCCTCACTTTACTACACTTATTGTTTTGCAGTCGTTAAAGCGGGGCACCAGCCGGTCCGTTTATTGACCAACAACAACTTAATTAATGTATTCATCCTTTAGGACTCAATCACTGAAGTAGAATCCGTTAATGACACGGAGCTCTACACCAGAACAACAGAACAAATTAATATTCATCCAAAGAAGGAGACCAAATTTGTCTTTGAAGTTTTATCACAAATTCATCAAACTAAAAATCATCACTAATAAATAAATTGAACAACAAAAATGATAAACGATAATAATTTGGCGAATAACTTGTTTGAAAAGTAGTGAAACAATAATGAACAATCTAAACAATAATCAGTCAAGGATAAATTCTCTTATCTATGGGGAAAAATTAATTATTTGAACAGGAATTTATTCATGTTTTGTTTTTATACGCTCACAAATTTTGTCCACGTTTAACTATTTAATGATGTATTTTGGATTTTAGTTGCGAGAAATTATTTAACGTGACCAGATTCAAGTAATTTATTATCACTGCAAGCCAGGAAATGACTTATAAAGTTGCATCAGCGTAAGCAGATCCAGAGTTGTGCTCATGTCACCAGGTTCTGCTCCTTACCAGGTCAGTTTGATGAGGGCTAGGTTCACTCATCTTTCTTGGGTTTTGCTGGTGGACCAGACCAGGATACACCACCAGGAGAGGACTGGGCTAGCCAGGCACTGCCCAACGTAGCTGAAAGTCACTGAAACAGCTTCAGGGGTCGGTGAAGATGACCGCTGAGGAGAAGGTGTGCGGGTGATCGACAACCTTCAGCCGGCTTACACTTCAAGCCGACAACGTGAGTCTTGCAGTGAGAAAAGCAACGCTTCATCTTCGGTAGTTACTGGAAACATGTTTTGCTTCTAACAAAACTTGTAACTGAGCAAACATGTTTTTTTGCTCAGGAACGTAAACGAAGACGGACATCAGACGAACACATCAGGATGAGGACCTAAACCAACTGCAAAAGTCCCAAAGAAACTTCAAGTGTACCATCAGCTCTCAGAAGTGTTTTGATGAACTCTGGAACATCATGTCATGACTCCCCTCTGAAGTAAACAGCTTCCAGCTCAAAAACACTCACAACATGCGTCTCTCAAGGAAGTTACTTTATGAAAAACAGAACGGAGAAGTTTGTTAAACACGTTATAATATTTCGCATGATTTCATTATAATGATTTCAAACAATAATCACATTAATCATGTTCACACTTGTTCTAATTAAATAAAACAAACTTCATTAATTATTTTTTTCTTTCTTAAAAGCATAAAAGAAAAGAGTAAACACTAGTCAGACTGTAGCTGACTCAGACCAAGGATGTGACTGTGTGGAAACATCAGACATTATTGAAGTCAAAAGTAACTCTGAAGAAAACAGCTCATGGTGGGTCATGAAGACAACCCAAGGGTCAGAGGTCACAGCCAGGGGAGCACATCTTTATGCTACATATTCCCCCACTTGGGAGTCGATGCCAATCCAGATGGCCATGGAGTCACTACAAATCAAATCCATGAGTCATTAGAATAAACTTGGATGGGGTCAGCCTTGACAGCTTGGTAACCATTGAAGTCTTGAAGAACCAAGTTAAGAGGTGTCCGATGACACCTCCTAGGTCAATGAAGAAAGAGGAATTATGTTCCCAAGAGAACGCTTAGTCTTCGGAGAAGTTCCAACCAGCCAAAGTCATGTGCCATATTTAGTAGCACTGAGGGAAAAAACAATGATCCAGATCCAAAGTGGAAACACTTGATCCAAAGCGAAGCCAAACAAAGGTCCTGTCAGCAAAGCACACCGGTAGTTAGCGATCCAAGCAGGTGCCAGAATGAAGGTAGTGGCCACCAGTTGGCACCGTGGAACGAAGATGGTGGAGTATTCCCAGTGAATACTCGTAACTCAATGAGGAACCAGGATGAAAGAAGTCCTGATGTCATCAGAAAGGATACCAAGGACTGCAGCAGGAGGCATGAAAGGTCCAGATCATCATGGTGGTGGTACACCCAGATGACAGTGCAACCTTAGACTGGTTATTATTGTTGGGCAGCTGTGGCTGAGTAGGTAGAGTTGTCCTCCAATGCAAGAATTGGGGGTTTGATTCCACCAGCAGTCACATGCCTAAGTGTCCCTGGGCAAGACACTGAACCCCTCATTGCCTCCGATGTGTGTCCCATTGGTGTATGAATGTGATAAAGCTCTGATTATTCTTTGTAATAAATATAGTAGAGTGCTGTATGAATGGGAAAAAGAGGACACAGATTGTGTTGTAAAGAGCTTTGAGTATCTTGATAAGATAGAAAGGTGCTATATAAGTACAGTCCATTATTGATGCAACTCAAGAGGGTTTTTATTATTATTATTATTTAGGGTAAAAGCAGGAAAATGAAGAGGACAGAAAAATGTTTAAAAAACTTCTTAAAACATTTACTTCATTTAACAAAACTGAAGAAAATGTACTTAATCAAAAATGTAACTCAAACAAAGTTTCATGATTGTACAAATATGAATTGAAATGTACATGAATTGTACATTTATATTGTATGTATAAATATGAATATTGATTGTGATAAACAATGACATTTCAAAAATGCTTGAGATGAAAAGTTTGTAATGCTAAAACGGAACGATGCTCCATTGGTGGGATCGCTGTTATCTTTATGAGAGGAGTTGTTTCTCTGGAAAATGTTTCGAAGGGGAACTCCAAAAGGTGTAGTTATTAACAATGTTTGAGCATCCAGTCAGAAATACAATGAGAAACCAGTTAACCCACAAGAATCCAAGTAGATCTTAAAACAACTTGGACTTCAATCATCAGGAACTGGAGCACAACAAGGTTAGAGATCAAGACTGTTGATGTTAACGTTAGCATTGTTCAGTTCACCTCCAGTGGTTTTATTGGTTTATTTCTGTTAGTTATCTCAGATTTCTGTTCACAAATACTTGAATACTGGACAGTTGACCCTATATACATAAACAATAAATGAAGTATTACAAGTATTAAACGTTGTCATTTGCACAGGGAGTTGGTGGTGCATATGTAAACATACACATACAGTGTATACATATATATGTATATATATATATATATATATATATATATATATATATATACATATATATATATGCATGTATAAGTGTCGATAAATTTAATTAAAATAAGCATGAATCTGTAAATTCCAAGTGCATGTTTATGTTAATATAGTGCTGGTGAAGATTCTCAGTCATCCAGGTCATGGCTAATCAGAAAACAAAACCCAGATTAAAAACAAAACATCTGGATTTTTATATTCTTAAGCTGAATATGTTTCGCTCCCCACGCGGGACGCTTTATCAGTTCAATGTTAAAAGTGTTTTCACAGCAAATGCACCTCTTTAATTACAGTAAATACTCATTAAAGATTTATCTTTTAAAAAGTATATTACTGCTTAGAAGAACAGCTAAGGACTTGCAGCTTACAAATGGTTATTAGAAATGTGAATATTACAAATGATAAATCAGTGTGGTCTTGAAATTTCACAGATGTTTTATAAAACCAGTCATATATATATATATATATATATATATATATATATATATATATATATATGTAGCTCACCCTTCAGTTGGATGTGATGAACATGAAGGATCCTTCAGGTGTTGTTAATCAGTGTTTGGATTATTGCTGTAGATAAATGTGAAGTCTGAAGATTTATGATCCAATTCATCTCAATAAAATCAATCACGGACAAGAACAGCATCTGTTGAATCTACAGGTCAATGAGGATCCAGCTGCCTACAGATGTTGCACGCTTCAGTGTTAATCCCTTTCATTCAACCTGTTGGAGACTTTTCCACGCAGCGTCACGGCAAACCCGCAGCCAGCAGAGAGTGAGGACCCCTGGCTGCGGGGCCGGAGCGGGGCCCATGCAGGCGGCCCCTCCGGAGCAGCACGCCGCCCACTGAGAGCCGTGGCCCGGGCCCTGATTGAAGTGGGGCCGCCTGTTGGCCCCTCACATGGGGGTGGTGATGGTGGTGGGGGGGCTTTCCCACTGAGCGCGCTCTGGATAATTATGATGTTACTGAGGTGTCATTTACAACACAAGCCCGGGAGTTCGCACTAACACGAGAAAGACTTTTATTTCCAAACTCTTTGGTTCAAATGAAACTTTCTTTGTTGTCTCTCCTTTTATTCCCAATCAACAAGGAGGAGACCAAAGGCTGGGTGGGGGGGGGGGGGGGGGGTCTGAGGCAAAAGGCTGACCTTTACTGGACAGCACGCACCAGTCTGAGAGCACGCTCCAAACTTATTTATGAGCCCAAGATGAGCTCATTAAAGCCCAATAAGCTCCAAATCAACCGACTGGTGACGTTTTAATGGTGTAGAACTATAAACACCGAAACCATTAAAAATACATGTTTTTATATAGGCTTCTTTTTGGACCCTCTCCAAACACATCTCCCAGCTGCGGGGGGTGTAAAAGAAAGAAAAACAATTGAGCAGTGATCTCTTGTGTTTTGTGTGTGATAAGTAGAAGGAGGAGGAGGAGAAGGAGGAGGAAGAGGAGGAGGCAGAATGGGAGGGAGGGAGTGATGGGTGGGGTGTAGGCGGCGGAGTGGGGTGCGGGGGTAGATCCCGTCGCGTTTTGACCCCCAGAAACCTCTCCGCAACCCGCCTAACCACCACCACCGGAGTCACTCCTCCTCCTCCTCATCATCATCACCTTCCTCCTCCTCCCCTCCGGAGGCTGAAAACACCATCGCTCATCCCGGGCCGTGACATTTTCCAGCCTGTCGCCGCGTGCGCGGACAGCGAGCGCAAAGAGCCAAAAAGGGAGAAGAAGAAGAAGAAGAAGAAGAAGAAGAGGGTGGGGGGGATCTTCCGTCCACAGCACCGAGCATCCCCGACGCCCCTACCCGGAGCGAGAGGCGCCGCAGGAAGCCGCTGCGCCCTCCTCCCAGCCCACCAGGACTGGATCTTGTCGGTGGGACGTCTTCCTCTTTCTCAGCAGCGTTTGTTGCAGAGTGTTGTTAGACAGAGCACAGGATCCATCCGGTCCATCTTTAGGTCGGAGCATCACAACGCGGCGCGCGCGCAGGGAGCGAGACACGGCAGCAGCTCCCTCCGCTGTCCGTGTTGTTGTTGTTGCCTCCTGCGCCGGCTCTTTCTGTCTCCTCACAACTTAATCACTGATGCGTGTTAGAAAAACAAAAGAGAACCAAACGAGTCCACTTTCATCCCCAGGAGGCGGCGGGAGGCAGCGGAGGACTGGATCCGAGCGGCGCGTCGTCTTCTCCGGCGTAGATCTGGCTGTCGAGGCGCATGGAGAAGAGGGTAGGTCTGCTGATCACTCTGACTGATTTAATCCACATCAACCTGCCTCTGACAGGGCTGTGATGAGTCAAACATGAGAGGAGTGAGAGCCAGCTGCCACACATACACAAGGCCCAGTAAGACCAGTATACTGGGATGGACTTCATGTTCAGGGGAGGACAACACAAGGGGTTAATTAATCTTCATGTTTTGAATTTTGTTTGTAAATGTTGAAGTTTTATAACGAAGGCAACTTTTAAATCTCCCCTTCCTTCAAGTTGACATTATGGGTGACGTGCAAAATGAGTCCTCCTTGAAATAACAGACTGGGAGTCAAGGGTTGATGGAAGTTAAGGGTTAGAGTTGAGAGGAAGAGGGGATGCAGCTCTTCACCTCATAAGTAGGTCAGTGTTTTTGCTACAGTGATTCAGAGGCTTGGTGGTGAAGAGGAGGAGGAGGAGGAAGAGGCTGATGGGCAGCAGGCAGACTGAACTTAAGAGAGCAGTGATGTAGAGACAAAAAACACAGCTGTCCACACCGATAATGTTCCACACAATAATCTGAACGAAGAGTTGATGTGATCATTTTTGGTGCAACTTTTAGAGCAACATGAGTGGATTTAATTTCAGATGAACCCAACACCGTTCCTGCCGTGGAAACGCACAACTGATCCAAAATCCAAAGATCTGGTGATTTAAGGGCCCGAAAGATGTGATTAAAAAAAATAATAATCTGCGCAGATTATTTTAAATCTGAAGAGTCCAGGTCTGTTCATTCATCAACAATGAAGCAGTTTCATTAAACATGTTTTCAATTAGAAAACAATAAGATTGTTTGGTACCAACATATAATGCATCTATTTCAGGTTTCTTTATTGTTTTCTTCTTATTTGTTGCAAAAGTTGTGAATTTTAGGATAAATAAAAAAAAAGCTGCACATTTCAACACATTCACTGCATAAAATTAACCTCATATATATTTTTTTGTTTGTAACACAACATAATTTGGGTGCAGACCAGAGCTGTGGTCTCACAGGGGAAGCAGGTTGTCCTGTGGGGACTGGAGACGTGTCCAGGGTGTCCCCCACTCCTCAGTGGACACCTGCTCCTCGTGGCCCGGGCAGCAGAAAATGGATGGATAGAAAACATAATTCCGATTGTTAGCAAACCTTGTTCTGTCTGCTCTTTTAGACATAAAACAAAGCAGCAAGACTCAAAACTGTTTATTTTATTTTTGACCCAGATCCAGGACCCAGGACCCAGGACCAGACTCCTGCGTCACACTGCAGCCTGATCAAACAGATTTCTGCTGCTGACACCTTTCCGCTCGAATGAACAAAGTTTAAACTCATTCCTTTCTACCATCTGAAGCCCGTTTCTCAGATTCTTGACTTTAAAACAAAGATGGGGGAAATTTTTTAGAATATCTGCATTTGAACTCGTGCGCTTTGATCCACTTTGACGCACAGAAACTGGATCAGGGGCCGTACGTAAAACGAGACGTGCCATCTGATAGCTGTGATCGTTTTAATAGCCGGGCCGGGCCCCCATAAAAACTAGAAGGTGTCCTGGGACCGGGCCTCAGCAGGTGCTGTGGGTCCATATGGGACTCAAACACAACAATTTGATCAGGCATGTATAGGACAGCAGCTTCCAAAGTGGGGTCCTCAGACCTTCAGCAAACCTGTGAACACACAGGGAACAGAAGATTTAAAATAAAATCAAAAAGAAAAATAGTTTGTCTTATTTTATAGAGTCGAGAGAAGAAGGCCGTCTGCAGAAACACCAAATAACACAAACTGGACACATTGTAAAGGTGTTTGAAATCGACTCAAATCAGTTTTAATTTGACCAACGTAAAGAGCCAAGTGTCTCTGAGTTACAGCTCAGTAAATCCTCACTCCTGCAGCTTGTTGGAGCCTGAACGCATCGTACCTTCCATGGAGTGAAAGGAGCTGCAGGAGCTGCTTGTTTGTGATCCTCTTGACCCTCAGGGACCAGGTCCTGAGGTTTTCTTTGGTCCAGCAGAAACAGACCTCACACACTGAGTTTAAATTTGCCCCAAAACACACAAACTGGAACGTATTTTCTGTTAAAAACAAGTGTTTGTGTGAGACGTGTGTGACATTTGTGCACATATGTGTGTCTGATTAATATTGTGTGTGTGTGTGTGAGCAGGCTGTCTCAGCATGGCTCCTGTCTAGTCTGAGTTTAGGAGGGAGGAGACGGAGTTTGCAGCTCCAGGCTCCTTTCTTCTTCCACAGATCTCGCCTCTTTCCTCTCAGTTTCCCTCAGAGCATCAAACACAGGCTGCTCGTGCACACGCTGCTGCTGCTGCTGCTGCTGCAGCTGCTTAAACGTTTTGTTACACTTTAACGTGAGAAAAGTGCTTCATTCAGTTAAAACAAATATATATACTGTATATCTAGAGGGGCTAAAAAAGCAGAAACGATAGCTCATTTTTGATCAACCAGCAGCACGGACACACAAATTGCTAAATTATAAATCCCCATCAGGTCACTGTGAGCCCCCCCCCCCCCCCCTCAACCGCCTCTAATAAAATCACTGTAAGGTTTGATGTCAGACAGTCGCAGATGTCCAACGTGTCTCATGTTTTCTGTCTCTCCACCTAATTGCGTTTCAGTATGAAGAGCTGGTGCAGTACTCAGGGTCGGAGGGCATGTTGGTGGGGGGGTACGGGGACGACGTCAGGGCGCTCCCCCCCCCGCAGTACGGCCCTGCCATCCCCGACTCCCTCAAACACCACAAAGACCAGATCTACGGGTACGTGGGCCGACCGATGTTTTGTGTAAAGCAAACGGCACGTCCAGGGGTTATTTTCAGTGTTTGAGCTGGAAGTGGACACCGGAGGCGTGTTTACAGCTTCGTAAAGACACGTTGTCCGTGTCACTTCCTGTCAGCCTGTCAGGTGTGCCTATACCAACTGTTACTGGGTTTATGTTCAGTATGTTAACTGTTTATGTGTATGTTTGTGTGCAGTCACCCACTCTTCCCACTGCTGGCCTTAGTGTTTGAGAAGTGCGAGCTGGCCACCTGCTCCCCTCGAGACCCCTCCTCCTCCCTGTCCGTCCCCTCCCACCTCCCCGGCATGGCCAATCACAGCGACGTCTGCTCCTCAGAGTCCTTCAACGATGACATCGCCGCTTTCGCAAAGCAGGTGGGCGAGAAGCGTAAGGACCAATCAGCACGAAGGTTTGGACGTTTTCTAACAGGTGGATTTTGTGTTGCAGATTCGCTCAGAGAAACCCATTTTTTCCTCCAACCCTGAGCTGGATAACTTGGTAAGACGCACCAAACAGTTTTACCTTTCACACATTGCATTGTGGGAAACATGTTTAATTATTCCTCTCCTCTCCATTAGATGATCCAGGCCATACAGGTTCTTCGTTTTCATTTACTGGAGTTGGAGAAGGTTGGTGAGATCCCAGCATGTTGCCACTTGTCACTTCTTTTTAAACTTTTGATGAGTCACTTTGAAGAAATGTTTCTATTTTTAGTTTTAGGGGTAATAAAACAGATCAGGATCTTTGAAAATATAAAGAATCGCCTGTCATTTTGTTAGTTTTTACACATCTCTTCTAAAATCTTACCTGTTGTAAATAGCTCTATGAACCCTCTCAGTTTGGAATCACCCAGCAACACTAACTTGAAAACAACGCAATTATTTCCATCTTAAACAAGCTCCAAGATCCCCAAAATTTTTAGCAGTCATGCAAATGTTTTTGTGAAATCCTCCTGCTGCCCATGGGTTAAAATAATTCATGACTGAGTAAAATAATTCATGACTGAGAGCTTGTGGGTCATTTTGACCCAAGGCAGCAATATGGTAAACCTTAATACAGTAAAACTTAATAAATGGGGGCAGCTGAGTGGTTAGAGCTGTCGTCCTCAAGTGCAAGAGTTGAGGGCTCGATTCCAAAAGCAGTCACATGTTGAAGTGTCCCTGGCAAGACACTGAAGGGTGAGAAGGACTTGTACTGATTGGTGAGACAGAGGGATCAGGCAGGAAAGGATGTGCAGCAGGTTAGACTTGTTAATGATAGGAATGTAATGTTCTAACAAGTGAGGAGAGTGTGATGGGAAAATGGAAGGAGTACTTTGAGCAGTTAATGAATGAAGAGAATGAAAGATAAAGAAGAGAAGAGGTCATAGAAACTGTGGACCAGGAAGTGGGAAAGATTAGTGAAGATGAAGTCCGGAATGCTCTGAAAATAATGAAGAATGGGAAGGCAGCAGGACATGATGACATACCAGTGGAGGTTTGGAGATATCTTAGAAAAATGACAGTGATGTTTTTTACCTAAATATTCAATGTTTATGTATTGGGCGTTTTCTCACCCTATATATGAGGGTGAGAAAACGCCTGAGGAATGGAGAAGAAGTGTGCTGGTGCTCAGTTTTAAGAACAAGGGTGATGTACAGATTTATAGCAACTACATGGGAATTAAGTTGATGAGCCACACGATGAAGATCTGGGAGAGAGTTGGGGAAACGACTTAGACGAGAGGTGTCTATCTGTGAGCAGCAGTATGGTTTCATGCCAAGAAAGAGCACCACAGATGCCATCTTTGCTTTGAGGATGATGATGGAGAAGTACAGAGAGGGTCAGAAAGAACTCCATTGTGTCTTTGTGGATTTAGAACAAGCATATGACAGAGTGAAGGGAGGAGGTGTGGTATTGCATGAGGAAATCTGGAGTGGCAGAAAAGTATGTTAGACTGGTACAGGACATGTATGAGGACAGCAGGACAGTGGTGAGATGTGCTGTAGGAGTGACAGATAGCTTCAAGGTGGAGGTGGGAGTGCATCAAGGATCAGCTCTGAGCCCCTTCTTGTTTGCTCTGGTGATGGATAACTAACAAATGAGGTCAGGCAGTAATCCCCATGGACGATGATGTTTGCAGATGACATTGTGATCTGTGGTGAGAACAAGGAACAGGTGGAAGAGAACTTAGAGAGGTGGAGGTATGAACTTGAAAGAAGAGGATTGAAAGCCAGCCGTAGTAAGGCAGAGAACATGTGTGTGAATGAGGCTGGTGGAACAGTGAGGCTACAAGGAGCAGAGGTCACAAAGGTGCAGGACTTCAAGTACTTGGGGTCCACTGTCCAGGAAAATGGGGAGTGTGGTAAAGAGGTGAAGAAGAGAGTCCAGGCAGGATGGAGTGGATGGAGAAAAGTTTCAGGAGTGATTTGTGACAAAAGGGTGTCAACAAAGATCAAAGGAAAAGTTTACAAGACAGTGGTGAGACCAGCTATATTGTATGGTCTAGAGACAGAGACATTGACAAAAAGACAGGAGAAAGAACTGGAAGTAGAAAAGATGTTGAGGTTCTCCTTAGGAGTGACAAGGATGGATAAGATTAGGAATGAGATCTTCAGATGTACAGCACAGGTTGAACAACTGGGAGATAAAGTTAGGGAGGCCAGACTGAGATGGATTGGACATGTCCAGAGGAGGGACCGTGGGTATATTGGTAGAAGGATGTTAGAAATGCAACTGCCAGTGCAAAGAGGAGATATATGGATGCAGTTAGGGAGGACATGGAGGTAGTTGGAGTGAGGACAGAGGATGCAGAGGACAGAGTGAGATGGAGGAGGATGACTCGCTGTGAAGACACCTGAAGAGGGGAAAGCCGAAAGAAGATGAACTGCTATTAAATTTTTGAGAATAGAGGTGGTATAAGTTAGTTAAGATGTGTAACTTTGTTTTTGAAGGTTCACGATCTGTGCGATAATTTTTGCAATCGTTACATCACCTGCCTGAAGGGGAAAATGCCCACAGACCTGGTCCTGGATGAGCGGGAGGGGGGCTCCAAGTCTGACATGGAGGACTTTGGAGGATCCTGCACCAGCCTTTCAGAGCAGGTCAGCTTCTGGATGTCAAACAAGACAAACCTGATCCTGTTTCGTGAAGTTTCTCGTAACTCCACATCTCTCCCTCCATCCTTCCTCCCCTCCAGAATGTGTCGTGGTTACGAGAGCCGGATGAATGTGCCACCACCCCTCTGGGAACACCAGGCACCTGTGGGCTGCCTTCACACAACACAGCCGACAACTGCAGCGACGCAGGTACTGACATGCGAATATGCGCTCCGGTCTAAATTAGTGAGAGAGAAAACCTTGCACAGCACAGGGCGGACTTGAACAAGGGAACAAGGAGCTGTTAAAGTTTTACACAGCTTCATTGATGTGATAACTTCTAACCTTTGTGCTTGTAAGAGATGTTTTAAAAAGGTTTCTTATTCACCAAATCAGTCGATAACAGCAAAAGAGTTGCAACTTGAGGCTCGGTGTTTTACACCCAAATTACTACGACATAAAAAGGTCCGGACTGAACTCTTTTTGCTGTAATGAGAAGTCTGTCAAAAATATTTAATCTTGTCTTTTCTCTCTTATTTTCATCCAAAAACAACATTCTTAGCATTTAGCTTCTCATATTTGATATTAAACAAATCATCTAAAGTCTCAGTTGAAGAAACAGAAGAATTTTCATAATGTTTTACATTTTTTAAGAGTTTCTGAATATTTAAGCGTCGTGTATTCCTTAAAGGATTGCATATTGCCCAATTTACATTGCTGTCCTATGAGAAACGTATACATTTAGGTAAAAATAGTTATGTTAGGCACAATATTGTGAGATGTTGAGCTCAGAGCAAGTTATGAAAGAATCTCAGCTACTTTTTTCATTTACCTTTTATTTATCCAGGTAGTCTCATTGAGCCACAAGAACTCATTTTCAAGAGAGACCTGTTTAGGGAGCAGATGGTGGGGGTTAAGTGCCTTGCTCAGGGGCCCAGAGTGGGGCGAATGAGGGTGGAGGCAGGTGTGGGTGTTCCACCTTTTCCACCCACATTTGGATGTTGACGGTACCGGGAGTTGAACCTGCGACTACCACAGTAGTTGTCATTTTGGCTGAGTTTTAACCATTTTTGTTGCCTAGCATCGATTAGCTAAATCAAACTGGCTCCAAAGGTTAAAACTAAAGCAGGATTGACTCCAACAGTTAATGCAAAAGTTTTCAGCAAAGATGTTGAGCAATGAGTGGCACTTGGAATGTCTTTTTGGAAATACTGTCAGCTACTACCACACCAAATTTTAGCTCAATATCTGTAAAGTTTACTGAGTTAGAGCCATTTTGGTATTTTCTAGGATCAGTTGGGTGTGCCATGTTCAAGTTGGTTGGGTTCAAAATATAATCAGGTGTTGATAAAAAAATACTGTCTGCAAGTTTATAATAATTGTTTTCCAGTGGTTGAAAACACGAGAGCTTGCTGAACGCATGCACATCAGCAGACGCAGGCGAAAACATGATCACCTGCCTTTCACTGGCAAAGTAATCAGTTACATCACTTTTCTGACGAGTCAACTATTTAATGTAATATTTGTTAAAGAACTCATCTTAAAAACACAAAATCTTTGTCAGATTTAAGGTTTAAATTGATCATGAGAGTAGAAAATCTGAAAAAGACCGAGAGGGAATCTTTATTTGTGACGGTTAACCCCAGGGCCGGTCCAAGCCTCCATGTGGCCCTAAGCAAAATGTGGTCTGGGGTCCTCTATTTCTGCTAATACTGTGGATTACTGCAATCAACAGTCAGATGATCAGATCATTCACCCACCTAACATAAACTCATTGCATCGCTGACAGCCCTGCTTATATTATCCTATATGAATATATCATCCAGTGCAGGGGTGCCAAACTCATTCATTTTGGGCCACATCAACCTCATGAATGTCCTTAAAAGGACGGATATGACAGAATGCATTGGCAAAACTATTAACAAACTGGTAAAATATAATTTTCTCTGCATTCGATGACTACTTCTAAAAATTAAATATTTTCTGTTTGAGTAATTTGGTATTATAAACATAAAAACTGATTTGATTTGACTGATGAAGCAAAAGTGTCGTCTGGTTTATGGTTCCAAAGAACTGCTACAGTAATGTTCAAAATAATTTGTAATGCAAGATCAACAACAAACAACAGATAAAACTTAGATGCATAAAATAAACTGTGCAAAAACAGACTAAATTAAATAAAAATAAATTATCAAGGAAATACCTAAATAATGTAAATAAACAATTACTTGAAACCACGTAAAATGGTTTAAAAAATTCACAGTTAAATAATTAGTTCTTAAAACTATATAAATGTATGCAACAATTTGCAAAAGCTGAATGTAAAATATATTTAAAAAAATCATATATAAATCATTACTTAAAAAAAAAAAATTAAATTCCACTTAGGGGGCCCCCTTGTGGCCCCGGGGCCCTAGACAGCTGCTTAATTCGCTTATGCCTTGGGCCAGCCCTGGTGAAACCCATTGAAATAAATGAACCCAGTTGTCTGGATTCAGGCTGGGGAACGTTAATTTCTGTGTTCACTTGAATGAAACGTGTCCACGTCTCCCTGGAGGCGACGGTCTTGACGGAGGAGTGGCGTCCCCCAGCACAGGAGAGGAGGACGAGTGCGACAGAGACAGGAGGAACAACAAGAAGAGAGGCATCTTCCCTAAAGTGGCCACAAACATCATGAGGGCGTGGCTCTTCCAGCACCTCACAGTGAGCTTCTTTTTTCTCCAAAGTTAATCTTTAACTTTTACACACACACAAAAAAGATTTAGGCTCACCCTGTATGGAACCGGACAAAGACAGCTTGTGTTCAAGTTGCACATAAAGAGGATTTAGTGTGGGCGAAACGTCCAGAACGAGAGCGGACGAGGAGGGGAAGTGAGTGTAAAATGGAGGTCAATTAAATTAAACGAAAAGATGGAGGATTAAATGATGATTATGAGAACACGCTCGCTGCCGAAAAATTGTGGAAGTGCTAGAAATGAGGTGTGTAATTGTTGGTGAGGTGGTTAGATCTGTAATTAGCAGCTAAATGAGGCAGTTCAAACGCTGCAGTGTGTGCGCGCCCGTGCATGTGCGAGAGGGTTTTATCAGGCTTTAAATGGCAGAGAATGAGAATTCAGAAAGCTGAACTTTACAGGAATTAACTTACATTTTAGTATCTACATTGGTTTTTAACACAATCACGGCGAGTTTTATGATCTTTAAATTTAAAGTGTTGAACTTGTGTGTCGCTGTAACTTCTGAGCTGTCAAAACTTTGCAAACATTTTGCAGACAAACCCTTTTCGTCCACAATCTTTACAATTCATATGTAATTAAACATCAAATTATAAACAATTTGGACTTTTTTTTAACCCATTTGTCTCTGGCAGTCAGAGGATTTAAGCCGTCGTCAACTCCGTTTTAGTTCTGTGTTAACGTCAGCCTGTCTTATTAGGAGTGATGTCAGGAAGTGACAGGCAGCACGGTTCTCTTCACTCTTCTACAGTTTAATCCTCAAAATGTCGGCATTTCATCGTTTCAGATTATTATTATTAGTTAAATTTTGGGCCATGGCGTCAGTTGCTTTATTTAAAATTACTTCAGAATGTAACTGTTGACGTCACCCCATTCCTGCCCCTCCGACCCCCACGTCTGATTGACTTTTGTTGTTTGTGCATGTTTGTAGCACCCGTACCCGTCGGAGGAGCAGAAGAAGCAGCTGTCGCAGGACACGGGGTTGACCATCCTGCAGGTCAACAACTGGTCAGTGCACTCCTTAAATCAATACTCTGATTCCAGCGCCTGTGAATTATCAATAATCAATCAAACCGTCTGGCCTAAACGTAAAGCATCAACGTTTAAATGAACGCCTCGGCTGCAGCCGTGATCTCCTGCCGTGGACGTTCGTCCCGTCTGTACTTTACGACCTTCATAAAATGATTTTTACCGGGAACGTTCGGTGGGAATTAAAAAAAAGATCATTTTTCAGGAGATTTTATTGGAGGATATTTTATGGTGAGGAGAAAACTGTCCTGCCAGCCTTTTTCTTTTTCTCTTTCTCCTGCTGCAGCAGTAAAATCTGTTGTTCCATAAAGCAGAACTGCAAATCAATATCTAATAATCAGATTATTTAGTGCCTCCCACATCCTGTTTTATTCTTTTATTCCTTTGGTGCTGCTGTTGGAACAGTTCATGATGTTTCTGCGCTTCACGTTAAACAGATGATTTGATCCGCCCGTAGTTTACATATCTTTATCTGCGACTGCTGCACATGCAGCGCCACCAGATCAATGCAGATCAATCAATTATGGGGGGGTCGTCGATACATGCTCTGCCCTAATGTTGATTTACTCGGCCCCCTGAAAGAGTTAAGTGGTTGTAAAAGGGAAAAGGTTAATAGTCTCCCGCTCAGCCTTTTTCTCCATTAACGCTTGGCCTTTTCTGCCTCTCTCTCTCTCTCTCTGCTGCTCTCTGAACACTTTCTTTATGTCTCTCGCCCCCGCCCGCCCCGTGCAGGTTCATCAACGCCAGGAGGAGAATAGTTCAGCCGATGATTGACCAGTCAAACCGCTCAGGTCAGGCATCGCTGCTCGTTCAGACACAGAAAATAAAAATACCTTTTGGTTGGTTGTATGTGAGGGTGTTGGTAAACGTGTGGTCTCACAGGTCAGGGGGGTCCCTACAGTCCAGAGGGAGCAGCTCTCGGGGGCTACGGGCTCGACGGGCAGGCCCACCTCGGCCTTCGAACAGCAGGTACAGCAGCCTGAGGGCAGGAGGTCCACTGAGCCAGAACCTCTGAGCAGTTCTCACATGTAACGTGTCAGCACTCAGACTGTTGTTAGGGATGACTCTCAGCTACTACCACATCAAATTTTAACTCGGCGTCAATTCGACCGAGCTACAGCCTTGTTTTGTGTTCGCTAAGGGCAAGGGGCTGGGTGGCCATCTTGAACTGAGTTGACTCCAAAAGTCCATCAGCTGAAGATGTTCATTTAATCTGTCCACTGGTTCATGAGATATTTTGCTGACACAATAGACAAATTAGCCCACATACACAGACGTGGGCAAAAACATTATCACGCCGCCTTTGGCTTCAACAGCAGGTGATTTATTTATTCTTTTTTTAAAAAATTTTACAAGCAAACATTATAGTTCTACTCTAAATAAATAAACAAATAAATAAATAAATCTCATCCTGACTGCTTCTGCTGCTGAAAATAGTCCCCAACATGTGCACCTTTTACTCCCGTTTGTGCAAATTGCAGTGACTTAAATGTTCCAAGACATTATTTTTTATTTTCTTAACAAAAATTATTATTTTTTACAACTTTGCTTCCCAGTGGCAGCCAGTGGGCTTGGAGCTACACACCCCAGATTAACTCAAGAGTAAAACACAACACATACTGTACACGTGAGGTGAAGTGAGGGGAACAAAAGATTAAATTATGAATATCAGCTGTAACTAAAAAAGTCTATTTTCAGTTGTCAGTGATAATATTTTCTCTCAGCCAACAAATCAACCAGCTCTCAAATGATGTTTTATTTAAGAAATGCTCAGCTTTTGATATGAGATTAAAATAATTTTACAAACAGGTGAAGCTGAAGAGAAGCAACCTGCAATTTTAAGGAGAGCAAAATAAAAACTCCCTGTATATTTAATTAAAAAGATTCTAAAATTTATACCGAGCACCTTATTACGACGGAGCTTTAGGGTCACTCTAAGAAAAGAAAAAAATTAAAAGCCATAATATTACGAGAATAAAGTCGTATGAGACTTTTTTTTTAACAGCTCTCGTTTATAACATTTTTTTTTCCACGAGTCGGAGCCACAACGCAACCTGTCAGTCAATCCAGTAGGTGTATCAGCAAATGACCGATCCGAAGCTAAATGCTCCTTACCTGCAGAGATGGAGCGTACCACCTTACTGTCAGCAGGTTCAAAATCCTGATACTGATAATAATCTGATGCTGATGTGCTAACAGATTAACTAACTCCTTATTTATAAGACCAATGCCAAAGTTTAACTTAACAAAATGCTCAACATTCTTCATTTTACCACAGTTAAAATGCGGTAAACCTGCGTTATCGTGTTACGACTCGTTTAGCTTCAGATTGGTCATTTGCTGACACGCCTACTGGATTGATTGACAGGTCGCATCCTGGATCCGACTCGTAGAAAAAAGAAAAAAAAAAACAAGAGCTGCAAAACAAAAGTCTTGGATGACTTTGTTCTCGTAATATTAAGACTTTATTCAACATTATTCTTGTAATTTTATGGCTTTTAATTAATTTATTTATCTTATTGTGGCCCTAACGCTCCATCGTACCTTATCGACAATTGTTGTGGAAATTCTGCATAAAAGGATTCACAGGGCATAAAATAATTTCCATAAATTATTTGACTCAAACAGTTTAATTAGAAAATACAACGTGGTTTTATAATTATTGTGCTGAAACCTGATGTGTCAGCAGGTGAGAGTCGTTCCCAGCACATGATGTTTGGTGACATTACACCAAATAATCATGTGAAGACTGAAACTCTTTTTAACAAAAGACGATCCTAAACGTAAAAAGTGAACATCTTTATGTGAAATCTGTGGCATATTGTAATGTCAAACATTTCAAGCTGTCTCCGTGTCTCTGTAATCAGCTGAAACTACAGGTCTGACTCAGTGTTTGGGTTGGACTCGTCACAGCAGCCAAACAACAAAATGATTCCACTCTCCGCTTGTTTGTCTCCCCGGCAGGTCTCCAGGGAATGTCCTCCCTGCAGGGGGACTATCCCAGCGCTCTGCTGTCCCAGCCCGGATACCCTCCGCACCCGGGGCCGTCCCTCCACTCGTACCCCGGCCCGCACCCTCACCCCGCCATGCTGCTCCACCCGGCCCCACACGCACACCCCGCAGAGCCGCTCCTCGCCCAAGGACTGGACATACACGCCCACTAGCTGTGTGGAGGGGAGGAGGGTGAGCGTGAATGAGTGTGAGGCAGATTTATTGTGTGTGTGTGTGTGCTCGTGGATGTGCGCAGGGCTGTGTAATGACTCATACAGTACACTATTTAAAGACAAATGGCTTTGAAAGTTTACATTCCTCCCCGATGGACCCTGACCTCAATGTAGCTGATCCACTTACACACACACACACACACACACACACACTTACACACAAACACACACACACAGACACACAAACATTTGCATTCACACGCTTCAGTCTGGACCCACAGGTGTAAGCCATACCTCTCTCTAAGTAGAAGTGCTTCCTCCTCTTTAAACGTCTCCACTGTGTCCTGTGGGCGAGACACATGCTTTAAACTACATTTCCCATCATGCCTGATGAACCACAGGACGACTGTTCGGATCAAAGCAGCAGAAATGTTATTTCACTGCACACACGGATGTTACTGAATGGGACTTGATCCTGTGAACCGCTCCCCGTCTTCCTGCAGAAACACACACACACACATGTTCACACATTTTATTTAAAGCCTTTTTAAATTTTGTTTTCTATTTTTATATTTATGTGTGCCACTCCAGGCAGATGCAGCTTTCACGTGAGTTTTGATGAAATGTTAGTGTTCTTCCTCAGCATGAATGACTTCCTCTGCCTCGCTGTCGTCTCACCAACCTCCAGAAGACGCCTTTCCTACACACACACATACACACACACACATACACACACACACATACACACGCACACACACACACACATACTACCAGACTTTTCTGAGCATTTCGAGAACGTTGTTGTCACAGCCAGGTGAGGGGAGCTGCAGCCAAAGGACTAAACATTCGGCTCTCCCTCCGCTCTACTCGGACTGATGAAATATTTCCTGATGATGGTGATGATGATGATGATGATATGGAGAAACCCAGTTAAAGTATTAAAATGTTTTTTGTAAGACTTGTCACTAGTCTTCTGTTTGTGTGTTCGGTTTCAGGTGATCTTGTATATATTTTTGTCCCTCATTCCTCAGATCTAGATGATGTATCAGGTTTAAAATTAGATCTTTTTTCTGACGTCACAGTCAAACTGTCAAACAAACCCTTGTCTTTTCTTTCTGGTTACTTATAAAAGAAAGAAAATGAGGATTTCTGTGGAACGTTGTCAAAACTACTTCAACGGCAAATAGCACGGCTACAGCTGAAGCGTCCCCAGTAAAAATAAAAAAAATCACTGCCAGGCAGAAAAGATACCAACAGCTGAAATAACCAACATTTACTACATGTACTGTGGTCCTAACCATCAAAAACGATGAAACAGTAAAATCAAATTGTGGACTGTATAAATAAATAGACTCAAGGAGAGAAAAGGCACCCAAAATGAATAATTTGGATGTATTTTGGTCCACGTGTGTGAGATGGTGTTCTTTGATTTGTAAAAGGCTGGCAGAACGGGAACCAGAGAACATTAAGTGGTGGTGTCACAAGTAGTGTTATCAGGCAGTTGCCAGTACGATGACAACTTAGTCTAAACGGTGAGTTTGGACTGATTTGTCTGTAAACGGTCTGCAGACACAAAGGATGCCTGATTGGCACATTAAGCAGCACCCTGGTACAGTCTTCAGCAACACCCAACATCATGTTGGCTTCCTCCTATATCTGCCGAGTCCCTCTGTATGGAGATAAATGAGTGTCATAAGTAGATGCACGAGCATACCACAACATCCACAAATGCATAAACAGTTTTTCAAACGTACACATTTCAAAGAGCACAAGTACCAATAGTCTGTGCATGCAAATTGTCAAATACGTGCACAAATCACCTGGTGTGCACGGATCTGCTTGCAGAACGTGACTTTTGAGACTCCTCCAGATTCATAAAGATAATGCTGAGTTCAAGACTGGTAAAAAGCTGGGACATCTGAGCCTTACCAGATTTACTGAGCCATCAGAAAAAACTCATTTCTAACTTAGCACAGAAGCTCATAACTAGAGCTGTCATTTGTAACCCTGGCCCGAAGTCTGGCCTGACCCGACCTGAATTCGGGGTGGGCTGGGCCATGATAATGTGCTGGATGGGTGGGCCAGGTTGGTGTTGGGCTTTTGATTGCATCAGCGGATCAGCTGTGATCCAATTATATGGCAAAATGGCTTGCCAAACCTTCACCAGCTGCATGGAGCCTTTTCACTGCGAACTGACCGGACTTAAGGTAAAATAAAGTTCAGTTAAGCCTCAGATGGGACTATACTGCCAGGCAACGATCCATCGCCCAAATGGACGTTCATTCAGCTGCTGCACTCAGCGGTCGTGCGCGGCCAACGGCCCAAACAGGCGAGATCCCAAAGCAGACATGTCAGAGCGGGGTCCATGTCTGAATAATGCAGAATGCAGGCAGAAACAGGGTTTTAATGCACTTTGACGACCTTGAAAGGACAAACACCCCCTCAGCTCTGATATTCTGCCTCTTTTGATCAGCCATGCGTCACCGTGGTAAAGTTAGTTTTACGTTGGATGTTAGACATTGGAGCTCCGTGGCTTCAGCGGTGTGTTCCTCTCGTTCTATCCGATGCAGGCAGTCTGATTTCAGTCAGTCGAATTCAAACGAGAGGAAAACACAGCTGAAGCCACGGAGCTCCAATGTCCAATGTAAAACTAACTTTACCGTGGTCCGTGTGTCCACCGACCGTTAATAACTATAAGCAGTTTGGATCTGTAATTAATGTGAATTCGTTGTGTCGGGTGGGGTTCGGAAATGATGGCTACGGGCTGGTGCTGGGTCCAATCGGATTTTTTGGGCCCGAATGCAACTCTACTCATAACCCCTATATTCACTTGTATAGCCCACAAAACTAATATTTTCTTCTTAGAATTATCAGCAAATTATAATTTCTGGTATTTTTAATGTGAACTTAAATGGTTGGGTTATTCTTCTATACCAGAAAATTACCTCCAGTTCTAGCAGCTGTGGGCCGACTCTCTGCAGGTGAGGACACAGAAGCTGTCTTCTTTCTACCAACCCCGTCGTCCTTTTGGTCTGATGTTGTAGTCGTCGTAACTCGGTCACATGACTTTTCACCTTTCATTTCATGTTCACCACTTTGTCTGTGTTTACATCAATTCAGTTTTTAAAGAGAAATGCAGTCAGATGAAATGAAAAATGAAATATTATTGATTATTTGATTGATGATAACAGTCTACTTTGTAAACTGTATTGTTTAATAAGACAATATAATAATAAAAAAAGGTTTGTAAGCTCAATCATCCAGGAAGATGACAACGAAAAAGGTTTGTTTCTTTAAGTGAGAAACATTTCGTCTCTCATCCGGAAGACTTCAGTCTGCGGCCTGCCAACCTGATCCGTCCTATAGGTAGTGTCCACTGCTGTGTTTCAAGCCAACCTCCTGTTGGAATCTCAGGAGGAGGCTTTAACACATGCAAACAGTGCACACCCATCCAAAACAATCAATCATCATGTACAACTATCAAATGCTTAATGTTTAAACTATATAGTTTAATTTTGGGGGATGGCTTGGACATGTCCAGAGGAGGGACAAATTGGTAGAAGGATGTTATAAATGCAGCTGCCATAAAGAGGAGATCTATGGACGCAGTTAGAGAGGACATGGAGGTAGTTGGAGTGAGGACAGAGGATGCAGAGTGAGATGGAGGAGGATGACTCAGTGTGGAGACCCCTGAAGAGGGCACAGCCGAAAGAAGAATACAGTAAAAAAAAATAATAATAATTTAAATAAATTTTACTGCTTTGTTGCAACATGTTTCTCATTGAGACAAACAAACAAGTATGTAGTACAATAATACAATACAACTTTATTTATAAAGGACGTTAAAATCAACACCTTTGGCCAAAGTGTTGTACACTGACAACACATAAAAGCAAAAAAAAATACAACTATAAAATCAATTGAAACTGTAAAAGTAATGAACTGTTAAAATCATAAAAACAGCAAATAGTAAAACCAATAAAAAAATAAAAACAATAAATCCAACATTTCAATTTGAGTTAAAAGCCAAAGAGAGAAAAAAAATGTTTTCAGAGATTAAAGTATAGTGTCACTACACCTGCTGCTCATCCACTCATATTTTTATCATGTGAACACGTTTAATCAGCATAACTCAACATCTTTTCGTGCTGCTTGTTACTGCCATGTTTGTTTTGTGCATTTTCAATAAAACAACTGCTGAATTGTGCATCCTTCCAACATGGGTGTGTGCATAAGTTTGCATAATCTTTTTTAATTTCAGCCTGCAAAAATAATGAAAATTGCATAAGCAGCGTTTCTTATAACGTAGCTGTGATGTTTAAAATAAAAATCAATAAATTGTACTAAAATTGGTATTACCTTTTGCAAATTGCTGTCTGTAACATGTCAAATATATTGTAATAAATAATCTATAGATGCAAAAACCCACAATCTCAAAAGTTTAAAGTTTTATCTTTAGTTTCTTTAGAACTTTTCTAGTTTTCGTACCATTTGTTTTGCAACAAAAACCTGGAAACGAAAGAAAAAAATCCTCTCTGAGAACACATCCTGTGTTAGTGTCTTTTTTTATTGTAAAGGAAAAACAAGAACTAAAAGAACAGTTTGCACCAAACGCATCGAGTTTTCCTTCTTGACTTCCAGCCATTCACGTTAAAAGCATTGATATAATTTATCCCACAAACACAGTCTGTCATCTATAAAATAAAACATAAAAACTGACCCACTTGAAACAGACTTAAAGGTTTAATTTGCTTTGAGGTAGTGGAATGTTAGAGGCAGAAAACCACTGGTAGATTTTGGACTTTTAGAGAGATTTATCAGCTTTTACGGAGCAATGATTCAGATCCTGTCTTTTGCAGCTGATGAGTTTGAGTCTAAATGAACTGTGTGTGTGTGTGGTGATAGATTGTAAAACTCTTGGCCTGTAGTCAGCAAGTAACCTTCAATAAATTCAAACATCTTCTGGTCCTGAACTGATTATCAAAGCTTCAAATTAACATCTGTCCTCAGGCTTTTTCAGACTCATCCGCAGCATGGTGTCTGCAGGAGTTATTGCTGCTGCAATGTAAAACACCATTTTATAGAAGAACTATTAGAAATGTTGCACAAACAGATTATAGATCTGATGCAAAATGTCTTCCCAGAGTGTTCTTGGTTTATTCTGCTGCTTGGAAAATGTAGAGATTTTTAAACATTCACTTTAAAGGACCCTTTATCTAAAACAATAATGTGATCTTCCTCCTTTTGTGTGATCATAAGTCACGTCAGAGCGTCCTCTGTGGCTGTGTGTTTTATCTCTGATGGAGGCCTCGGGCTGCAGCTGCAGCGATCTGTCTCACAGGCTGGATTATCACAGAGAGGAAACACACAGGCTGGATTATCACAGAGAGGAAACACACAGGCTGGATTATCACAGAGAGGAAACACACAGGCTGGATTATCACAGAGAG